ATATAACCTCAAGTGTTTCAGAGAAAGCAGATTGATTATAAATCGATGAAGACAGAGATTGGGGAAGAGAAGGAACGAAATTACGGATTTACCCTTGTGTTACAATCAGGAAAGGGTAATCGGAGTATCGTACGGTCCAGATTTCGTGGCGAATAAATGTCCTTTCGTCCCTCTTTCTCAACTTTAATAAATTGACCGGTCAATAATTAATAAAAAGAAATTATAACAATTTTTTAAAAAATGAAAAATAAACAGTGTAAAGAAAAGGTCAATGGATAATTGTGGCGTGAAACCTACGCGATGAAATTATATATTTTATATTTTATTTATGACCTAAAAAGCTACCAAAAGATTCTCTCTCCCGTAACGTATCCCAGTTTTCACGTGGCCCATTAACTAAATTTCGGGCCCATTAACTTTTGTGTTGCGTAAGTAACCTTGCTTCAATTATCTTAATGGTGGGTGCAGAATAAAGCATCTCAAACCAATTTGGTTGGCAAAGTTCATTGTATTATCAAAAGTCCAAAACTGATTCTGGAAATGAAATGATAAGTAGAAAATAAGGTAATTATCTGAACCGTTAACAAGTTTTAAATGAAAATTTCGGATAAAATTATTCAAAATTAATCATATGTGTGTCATGTACCAAATGCTATACGGCAACATACCAAATTTGTTGGTCAGTGATCCACACTTTATACATATATTTTGTTATTCTTCTGTGTTTATTTGTCTGTATAAATAGCTAACATATATTCCCCATATGATTGTTTCCAGTTACACATAATTTTGCAAAATTTGGTTATGCTTGAAATTAATTTTGTCTTGAAACATGTAATTACGTTTTTGACCAAAAGACCCAACTTTTTTCAACCTCTCATTTCACCATCACAAAACAATGACACCAACTCTCCTAAGTCTTCTTTGATCAAACAAAAAACCAGAGAGGCAGAGACTTGTGACTAACTAACCAGAACAAAGAACATCAAAAACCACATAGATACTTCTTTACTACGTTCAAACAAGATTTTTAAAATGGTCTTAATAATGTTAAAAACCAAACATCATAATCATCACCAAGAAAAGAGTCATCATGACTTTTAAAGAAAGACCAAACTAAAAGCATGGAGGAATTTTCTTCAAGATGGGAAAGAAGCAGTTTTGTTCAGGTCAGACTTCAGAGCATGCAATCAGTTCTTGCAGGAAGCCTCCTGAAGAAATTAAGAGGAACAGACGGTAACCTGTATCTGAACCTCGGATGTCTCAGAACATAGATTCCAATGCAAAGAGCAATAACCTGGAAAGGAGTCACATAGAGAATAACTGCAGCAATCAAGCAGAACAATACGAAGAGCGAGGTTGCACGCGGATCACGCCAGCTTAGCAAAGACTGAAGCCTCTCTCCTTGAGTTGCAAGATCACCAACTACAGTCTGAATCCTTCCAGCAATACTCCTCAACCTGTCATACCTCATCCTGACAATGTCAGATGGTCGGGAAGTAGGAAATGTGTCGAACTCTTCATCTAGCTCGTCAGGGTGAGCTGAGTCGGCGTGAGAGAGACGAGTGTCCATGTGAGGAGGATGCCTCGGTCTCCAACGGTAATACCAGACACCGATGAGGAAGAGGTAGAGGAAGATTGTGGGCAAGATTAGTTCGGGATAGAGCACAAGGATGATGAACAAGAGATGGATCAAGACAGTTGTGATCGGATTCTTCCAGTTGCAGATCTGTTCAAACCATTTTCCTACAGCGATTACCCCGCTCAAAACTCCCATAATCCTGAAAAAGTTTGCTTTGCTTCTCCTCATACTCCACATGTGAGAACCCACATCGAGCATGTATTCAACTACTTCTTTCCTTAGTGGCGGCTCTGCTCGGGTAAGCCTCATCGACACAATCTGAGTCGCTTGATGCCTCAAGTTATCAAGCTGGCTAACAGTTAGAGGATGGATGTAATGCATCTTCGGTAAGAGAGGCAGTGAATACATATACATCATGTTAAGCAATGAAGAGCAAGTGAATCTAACAGCCAAGTGAATCTCTCCCATTTTCTTGACTCCGTTAGGATGGAGCACCAAAAGAGGGTATGAATGTGTGTAGACTCGATCAGTCTCGAGAGTAGAGAGCCGGATCCTTACCTTCCCAACTCTTGAATCTTTTGCTCCTCCGTTCTTCTCACCTCCATGGAGATGGCAGTTATCAAATACCCCAACTGTAACAACAGTACACGGATCAAAAACCTCCCAAGTGTATTGCTCGTTCCATCTCGGAGTAAAGCTGTCAATGATTGTCCGAGTTCGGATCCATTTCTGCCCGTACTTCGCCACACAATATGCATCTGTGGTTCCTCGGCCATCTTTGGTTTTCATAGGCATCAGACCAGTGGCACTTATTATCCCCAATTCCAGCACACCGATGCTAGGCTTCCATAGTTGCTTCGCCGTTGGTCTAAGATCACTGCTGTAATGTGTAGACTCATCAAGAACATGATACCCACCTTCCAAACAAATCCTCATGTGAATCCTGCTAGCGAATTTCGTCTCCTTCTTCTCTCCGTCAACCATAATATGCTTCTCGAGGTTATACCACCTGCTGTTCACCGGTTTGTGGTCGAACCTTCTGTCCAGATACTGCAACGGAATCGCACATTTCCCCATGACTTCATCTTTGTTTGGAGCAACTCTATCTTCCACACTAAGTATCAAAGGCTCCTCAAATGGCTCAGCTGCTACAAACATCAAATCCTCATTCCACATTGGATTTAAAGTTCTGTTTTGAGATACTCTAGTCCTCAACGCCTGGTTTCCCACTATAGCCTTCACATAAACCTCAGGGTATCTCCCCTTATCGCTTGGTATCAAATCTTGAGCTTCAATCACATTAACCCTAAGGTACCAAAGCTTAGGAGAAAGATAAACCTTGGAGCGGATATTGGCAAGAGCATCAGTTCCACTTACTGTTGCAGCATCTGAGTGCCAAGCTTCAGGGAAAGCTTCATCAGCTTGAGTACCAAACCAAACAGCAAGCATAAGCTCTCCCCTGACTTTATCCCCTTTCCTATCTTCGAGCCTATACCATTGCGGCGCCAAGGGACTGTCGGGAGGAACTCTCTTAGGTACCTCATTCAAATCAAACACAACACGACCAATCAAATCATCTTTCACAACATCCTTGTCTTTCACAGTAGCTTCAAGGAAAGAAGCTTGAATCCTATCTTTTGAGAAAGCGAAAACTTGGTTCCACTCAGGATTCGATTTCTTCTCGAAATGACGAGTAGTTCCTTTGTAGTTACCAAGCTTAACCTCAACATAAGGGTCACAACTACCAGTCATATCCTTCCCAGGCAATTCTTTAGCCTTCACCACACGAACATAGAGATACTGCATTTGCTCAACGAGGTCATAAGTGCTTGTAAGCTTATCACCAGTGACTTTACCCCCACCGAGATGTGGTCTTGTCTCCTTCAAGGAGAAATCTTCAGGCGGTGGTCTCTGCATCTTGAAGACACACACCAAAACAAAGTTCCTACACGGTTCCAAAAAAATCATTGTCAAAAACATTCACATTTAGTTAGCTAAAAGAAGGTAACAAACAAAGATTACACTTACCAGAATATGGGTTTTTGTAACAGATGGGTTTAAGCTACTTCAAATCACTAGATCTGAGACAAACACACCATTTGAAGAAAGAGTTAAGAGAAGAACAGAGAGTACTAAAAACCCAGGTTTTTTTTGGGTACAATGCAAAGGAAAATAAAGTGGATTCAAAAAGATTCTCGAATATTAGCATCGCATTTTCTAGATCATAAAACAAACCTCCTTAGTATCTACGAGGCAGAATCTAACGGCACAAAATCGTGAATCATCAAAGAAGAAAAAAACCCATCGAGAGAAAAAAAAAAACAAACTTTTTCTCGGGAAAACACAAAACCCATAAACAACGAATTACGCTTCATCAAATTTGAAATCTCAAAATCTCTTCTTTCAAAATTATTTTGTTGTCGTCTCTCGATTCGTGCAATGAGAGAAGCATT